GTATCTTAAAGTTCTCAATCCCTTCCACTGGATGCTTATTGACAAGATCATGAAAAGATAATCTAATAGAGTGCTAACATAACATGCATTTATAGAGATATTGATCTCTGTGGCAACAGTCTGAACTTTTATCTTCAGTAATCAAAGCAAGCTGTCACAAAACAGAGAACATGCAATTGAAGAGTGATGTCCCTTTTAGCATCTGGTGAAGCAGCCTCTCTGAATGCGACCCTTCCATCTGAGGTCAGACTAACACAGTCAGCTACTTGTCTTAGGATACGGGCAGGTATCCAGGAACAAGTTACATACAGCTGTATGTAAAAGGAAGTTTTTAAGCTAATTTCTTACAGCAGAAACTCCGGTGAAAGGAACAGTCTGATATCCATTCTGGTCATAAACAGTTTTAGAAATTTCATGCAACAGACTTCAGCATATAGGTGCCAAGGAGCAATACAGTAAAATCTAACTTCTCTAAGCTTTAATGGGATTCTTTCTATCCGCTACTTACTAAAAGGACCAGGGCTATGGCAAAATTAAAGGAGGACCAATTTACAAGAGCTGGTTAATGGTACCACAGCAGTGTTCAAATTTCAAACTCCAACAGCACGTGCAATAGCTAACTTAGGACTTAAGGTAAAACCACCCAACTAAGTAAAAGTGGTCAAATTAGCACACACTTTCATGCTTACCAATCTGTACATTCTCTGAACTGTTCCAGGGCTGAGCTCTAGCCTTCACACTTCTTGTTCCACGGTAGTCTTGCTTTCCAGAAAACGTTGCAATGCTTACTGCTAAACACAGCTGGAAGCAATAGGACCAGCTTCAATTAGGGCCATGTAAGTGAAAATCATCATCAGCCCAGTGGCTAACATTTTATTGCACATACCAGGTGTCTCCCACACACTTCAAACACACCACTTCACTCTAGCTTATCGGTGTTAAATACTTCATCCTGATCCTCTCAATTAAGGTCTGATTAACTATTTAGAAGTTTATCAACCTACCTAGGTTACCATGCAGAAGCAGAATGCAATCTGAGGCTTATTGCAGAGAAAGGAAGAAATGGAGAGCTTGCAAAATAAACAATTTGGGTTTTACTTGAACATGTTTGCAGCTTCCCTCTGTAACAAATCAAGAACATGAAATGAGTTGAAATCCACTCACTATATACCACTGCTGTATAAAACAGATACTTAAACAGGATTTTAGTTCAAGTGTACTATATACTGTACCATTTGGTATACTGTTTAGCGAACTGAGATATACCAGCTAGTTTTAATTAAAATCAGCCATGAGACTGGAAGACAAGCCTTATTTATTCTTCAGTGGCTTTACCTGCAGCTTGGTGGACACTGGAGAAAAAACAAAATTGGTGTTTCTCTAAGCTGCAAGCATAGCAAAAAGTGGAGTAGGGGAAGAATATCTATTTAGGATAGCCAGCCAGCCATCTGTGAACAGGAACAAGCCAGTCACTCTCCTTCTGTGTAATATGAGTACATCATGCAGCTTTAAAACAGGCTGGGGGGTGGAGGGTTCTGGGAGACCACCCTCTCCTGTAAACATGCATTTTTAATAGAGCGCCAGCTCTTTTGGAACATTTTTACCCTGTTTGTGCTCTGGTACTGCATTGGTGGAAAGTTTTTTTTTTTTGTTTTTTTTTATTGTTTGGAAGCAAAATGCAGTGCACACATCAAGAAATTCCAGTACAAAATAGCCACCTTCTGCTTCAGCTGATATGATGACATGGGAGAGAGTACAGAAAATACTACAATACAATAGACTAGAGCAGACACAGCATTACAAGGCGATACATGCCTGTAGATCAGAGACACTGGCAATTATCACACAGAAGGCAAGTAAATCAGAGTCAAAAAAGGCAGAATGTCATTCTTTTGCAAAACTGAAGCATCAGTTTCAGGATTCCAATCCATTGTTTTAATAATGTAACATTTCTGTGAGTGAAGCGTGAAGGTTTTTTTTAATGCCATTTTAACTGATAGTGATACAGGACGTGAAATGCTGTTGAGTCACTGCTGTTGTTTTAAGACCTTTTAGAAACTTACCCATATAAAACTGAACTGTATTTAGAAAGAAGTGTTTGTGTACAGGCTTTAAAGTGGTTACAGAACTTGGTAGGAGAATTACAGTAATTTCCCTACATTTCAATATTGTACAATCCTCTGTATGTAGAAACTGATTATCACCTACAAAAATAAGTGTCCTACAAGTCACGGATGCTGAATTTGCTTACTCTACCTTTACAGAGTTGATGTAATGCCATGCAGAAGAAACAAGTTGGTTAGATGAATAGAACAGGAGGACAAGTGCTGTTGATTCAAACACACCCCTGCACAACTCCTACACACTTTAATAGGAGTTCATGCATGAGCCCAACTACCAACCCCTGGACAAAAGAATAAAACCTCTTTCACAAAATAATAATAAAGAGAACCTGTATTTACATTTGCAACTAGGGATCAAGAACATTTAGCTCTGAACACAATTGTGACATAGTTTCAAACCCTAACAATGAAATGTTTTATAGTTAAGTGTCTATAGTTTTAGAAAGAAAAAGACTTTAAAAACCACTTACAAATAATCTCCAACACAGATGAGTTCAATCTCATACTTAATAAATAGGAAGCATCCAAAACATGATCAGCACTGAGATGCTTTTAACTGTTATGTGATTCCAGAGTCTGCTGCTTTGAAGGAGAGGCTGGGTTGTTACTACAAAAACTGAAGTCTAAGTTCTTCAGAAAAGAATGGAGCTCATGGGACACAAGTGCTGAAACATGCCTGTTAGGGAGATTCATTGCATGCCAAACCACTGCTCTTGATCTGCCCACTGTGCTGCTTCACTATCACTGCCCTCCAAATCCCCTTCTTCTCCACTTCCTTCCATATCATCCACATCCTCTTCCTGGGTTGCATCTGTTGGACTCTCCTCCTTTTCCATTTTCTGCATTCCTTCTAAAGACTTCTGATCATTGGGATCCAAGCTGAGGGAGGGGAAAAAAAGCAGGAGTTACCCTCAGCTGTAAGGAAGCAAACATGAGAAAAGTGTCTAATCAAAGCTAGTCTCCACTTCCTTTTCCTCCCCCACTTCCTGCTTACTGCCACTAATATTTAAATACAGCAAAGATGCTGTGACTTAATATCAGTCTGATGTTATAACTTTTCAGCAAAAGGTGGAAAAGGATGTTTAACACTATATACCGCATCTTTGCGCAAATTACCTTGACCCTGGATCATTCACTCTCTGAACACCACAACCTCCCTCCCATGATTTGAAAACATAAATATTAGAAACCAGGAAACAGGAGAAAAGAGAGACTAGCACCAAGGCATAAACAGCCAACTGACCTAGCACTGCATTGTACTGTAGGCATATTAAGTCAGCAGGACACAGGATAAGCTTAACTTTTGCACAGAATATGCAGTGTACAGTAAATGACATTTTATTCTGAAAAATGCTACATTTTATCAAGTCCGAATTATTTTCTTCCTCTGTGTTCAAGGGTTTGGCTTTACTGTAAGAAGAAATTTGTTTTCTTGATGTTTAATGGAATCATTCTGTTTGAATTTGGCTAATCCCGTGTGTTTATATAGCACCTTCCAGCTCAAAAGGAATGGAGCACAAGGTGCTTGACAGGCTGTATAATAGTTTAAGGATTATAAACAAATCCATGCCTTAATCCTCCTTATTAGTGCAGCAATTGACTGGCTGGTAACATTAGCAAAACTTATGACTGCAATACTGATTGATGTCCTTAAGAACCACAGTTCCCAACTCAAAAGGTCTTAAGAGCAAGATAACTCATCAATGAAGAGGCAGCATGTAAAAAAAAAAGACAGAAGTGGCTTTGAAATGCTTCTCCTCCTCTCTTTGCTGTGACAATTCAAATAGGTTAGTGAAATGATAAGCCACAGAAACTGCACACTTCTTGGAACTAAGAAATATAAAAAAAAAAATAATAAAAAAGTGAAGGACAAATTTTACCTGAGGGCAATACTGTACTGGTCCATAGCTTCCTGATATTCATTGACAGCTACAAGAAAGTCTCCCAGTATTCGATGCAGCACACAGTCACTCTGATTAGCCAGTGCATTCCTCAGTAAAGCAATTCCATCTTCATATTTCTGTTCTCTGCCTGTTTACAGAGAGATACATTTCAAATCAATAGTTCAGACAGATATTCCACATGTAAAAATTACATGATGGAATAGACACAAAAAGCTACCGCAATATTTCCCCCCCTAGAATAATCAGCATAATAATTCTATGGTTGGTAACTATTCTTTGGGAGTTTAGTTCTTTGTACGTTTTTCTTTTTTTTGCTCTAATGATAAATATGATCATAAATATACTGGTTTAAAGTAAGACTCAAATAATCAATTGCTATTTTTTCTAAAGTATTCCTACACCTCATCATTGTATTGTCTTATGGCATTCCTGTTCAGAAGGATAATTTACAGAACTGGCGAATCTTTGGCTGTAACACTATTATTTCATACAAAAAAGTGAGCTTCAGGAAGACTGGGCAGGGAAAAGAACACATCTCAAAAGAAACTTACTAAGAAGTTCCGCTTTCTTTACCACAGCTTTAATATAATCAGGTCTCTGTGTCAATGCTTTATCTAATAAGGTTTTTGCTTTCTCTTGTGTAACCGGGTCTTCAAGACAGACTGTTGCCAACAACGTAAGCGTCTGTGCGTTTGCTCCCAGGGTTTTGTATACATTGTTAGCCATAACCATTGCTTCACGGATACTGTTGGATGCAAGATAACATTCAATGAGGCCTGAAGACCAAAAGAAATGTGTCAGTTAATTCATGTTAGTATTGGCATACAAAGCAGACCCCCTCAGTCAATTATTTGATTTACAGTAGCACCCACAGGCCACCCAAAGATGCAAGTCACAGAGAGAGATTCAGTGACCTGTGGTCCCAGAGATCACCAATAGCAGAGCCAGAAGCTAGAAGAACATCTCTCAAGTTCAGCCTCTGCCAGCAGAGGTATTATTTATTTAGGGGAACTTTCCCTCCTCCTGATTCTTTCTTTTTTGTGTTTAAGGAACAATATCCAAATCCTTCCATTTGCAGGCAGTTATGCAATTAAAGGACAGCATTCCTGAACTTAGTCTTTACTATAATAGAAGTGGAGAACCACAACACAAATTATTCTGCTCATAGGACACGAAGGAAGAATATATCTATTGAGTAGTGGGCTGGAGAAGCCAGGAAAATCAGATATACCAGAGTCCTCCATTCTGAGCAAAAGAAAAGGAACTGGAAAAATTGCCTTTACTGAGCAAGAACCAGGAGGCAGAGACTACATCTCTCAATAAATCACTGGGAGTACTCCAAACAACCCTAGAACAATACAGAAAGAAAACCACCACTGCTTTCACCCACCAGGCTGTCGCACTTGCATGCCTCCTGCTCTTTTTTTTCTAAGCTTGTGTGGCATTTTTTTGCCTTCATTTCAGTATGCATGGGTCTGCCCTCAATTCCCTGCAACTCCTCCCACACTAGAACTGCCTAGCATCAGCAGAGCTGACAGTAAGCAAGGGGAGTGGGACAAATGTCTGTGTGAAAAACCATCTATGATCTGGTACATGAATCGGATGTTTTTAACCCTGCTTCATCCAATGATTTTGTCAGTAACTACTGGCATCGAAGGCTCTGTGTATATTTTAACATCACAATTGTATCCCAACACATAAAACACACATTTTTGCTGAAGTTAATCCTTTCAGTGGTATTAATTTACAGTCTGACTCTTCAGTTCCTGTGTATAATTTAGCTTCTTCTGAAGAGCAAACTGAGCTCTTTATAGATTTATTATAAATATATCTGTTGAGTTATGCAAGGTAATTCTAAACTACTCACTTATTTCCCAAGATTTGCATCCATCAGCTTCCAGTATGGAAGTAGAAATATTTCTCACTACTGGCATCCTTTGCAAACCATTATTTATTTGAAACTGAAGAAATCTTTAAAGATCTAAACAGAGTTTCCCTTTTGATATTCTTTAACAAAAGTTGCAGAAAAGCCATAATCAAGTTCAGTTTTACTGCTCTGCTCAATTTTTGGAGCTTCAGCTGTTGACAGTGAACCAAACACTTGTAACCCCAAGGCTTTAAACATTTCAATATGTAAGCTGAGTGAGTTGCTATGATTACCTGAAGTGTGGCTGGGGGTGAAAATGGCAGGCCTACCTACTAGCCATACTGAACAGACTATGTAGATCACTGAGACTAATCGATTATAACAACTGTCTGCAATCTCCACCATAACACCCTATTAACAAATGAATCTGCACATGAAAACTACACTTCAGTCCAGCAACCATACCATCCAAATGTTAGAAAACAGTATGCCAAGACCAAAAGGCAAGCAGCTTCTATTTGATGCTTCAAAGCTCTCTACATCATTAGATGGTTTTCAAGAAAGCTTAAAATAAAATTTGTATTAAACTCTGAAGACCTCTGCAAGAGTGTTTGCTCTGCTAAGTTTTCTTTTTCTTTCTTACAGTTTGGTAGAAGATGATTTACCTAGGTAATGATATGCCAAGATTAAAGCTTCCAATGGAACTAATCCTAGAGCTGGCAAAGAATCCGTTTGTGCACAGATTAAGGATTACACCAATTTAACAAGCATGCATCTCACTACATCAAATTCAAACCAACTTTCCGCTTGAGAAGCATGCATTCTTTAATACTTTCCCCTGCGTTTGCTGTGATCTTTACTTGACAGCTCTTGCAATGTCATTCACCTACTAGAAAGCAAAGGCTTGCATCAGAAACTCTGTACTATTACCATGCCTACATGGAACCCACAATAGGGCAGCTTCTAGCTTTGCTGCAACTGTGACACCACTATATTCTACCAAAGCCCTATCAGTACTGGGTATAAAGCATTTACTTTACTCACCTTCATAACAGTCTAGCCTGCAAGGCGCAAGACGTATTGCCTCGCGGAAATGTATAATTGCCTCCTGGACTCGCCCCATGTTCCTAAGAGCAGCTCCTTTCAGTAGTAATGCTTGGACACTATTACTGTTGAGCTGAATAGCTTTGGCTCCCAAATACAAGGCACGAGAATATCTCTTACTGTAGAAACTATGGCACCTACAGAAAAAGAAAGACAGGCAGCACAACACTTATGATTACTATACTCATTCATGGGCAGCTGAAAAGGAAAGTTATTGGTAAAGCTGTTCCTAGCAGGCAAACTTACTCAAAAAGCCAGATCTGATATTTATTGGCCTTCACAAAGCCGCTGATTTAAGTACTAATTGTTACACAAAACTATAACACATTAACTGTTAACAGACTTGATAATTCCAAGGTGCTTAAAGGTAACTAGATAAAAACAGACAAGCTATTTCTAACAGAGTAACAAAGGGATTCTGGAGGGCCCAGGTCCAGCACTTAAAACGGCCCAGAATGCCCCTTGCACAGTTTTTAAAGCCTACTCCCCTTTCCCTTGTACAACTCACCTGAGACTGCTCAGAAGGATCTACTCTGGCCACTTATACCCTGTAGCAGTGCTATCTCTCCAAAAATGTGCATAAATTCTGGGTAAATCCCTGAACATTAGTTGCTGAAAAAGACACAGCTAATGACTGCTTGTTACTGGAGGAGGAGCAGGAGGAAGAGGGCCCTCTCTTTTTAGCTCAACAGCCTACTGGATTCAGTGCTTGCCTGGGGGCGGGGCGTGGAAAAGCCAGATTTTAGGCTTCCTTTACCCAGAGGAAGTTTGCACTTCACATTTCCTTGGAGAATACTCAGACCACCAAGCCACAGCCTGAGTTTGCCAAGGCATTCGCCTCCCTCCTATGGAAATTGAGCAGCTGACGAAGGAAGATATGTATAGCTAGAGGGAGAGCAACCCAGTAGGAGTATGGCTCAGACAACAGCACTTCCCTAGAAGGGAAGAGGCCTGGATTTTGGCCCCTGCTCCTGATGAACAAAGGAGGAGCTATTCCACTGCTGCCCGTCTTATTACCCAATAGGTATGAAGTACAAAAAACACAGGAACACTATTAGGGAAGTAGGGCTACTATACAGCATAAGTGGCCAGAGAAGAGCTCTTCCGAGCATGATCATAAGGACAAGAGTTAGAGGGGATCTAAAATCTGCATTAAATGGTTCAAAATACAAAACTGTGGAGCTACATTTGGCCCAGAATGTCTGTAACTGGCAAAGCAGACTCTCACACTAATGACACCTTATCTCCCTTCCCCAAACATGTTGATGCTCTTAAAAGAGGCTCACTAAATGGCTGGGGAAGCAGAGAAAAACAAGAAGCAGAAGACAGTTACCCAGACACAACCCACGGCTCTGCATGCTGATCAGAAATATTGAAGAGTCGGCAGCCCAAGTTCTCCACATCTTCTAGGCGACCTTCACGTGCCAATAAATAGCCATAGACATCCATCCCTAAAAGGAAAGGCTTTAGGAGCAGTTGTACTGTCTGAGCTGCCAGTCATGACATTTCAAATTTACATTTTATGAAGATTTAATAATTCAATGGAGTTCACCCAAAGGTACCAGCAATTTCATACTACTGCATCTCAACTCTTCCTTAATCATACATGTTTTGGGACCAAGTCACAAAGGGATAGATGCTCATATAAAACTAATGGGAAAGGAGGAAACAAAAACTGGTAGAAAGTTAAAGCATGAAAGTTTCTACAAGATTTCTATCCCTAAGGACCATTTCCAAGGGGCAGTCCATGGTGGGCCACATCACAGGTTCAACATGGCCCACAGGCCACACACTGGGAATCCCTGGCTTATACAGAAGGCAAAAAAACCACAAGCTTCTTAAAGTAATTAATTCTTACTTTGTTTCTCTGTGGCTAGCAATTCTACCTTTTTGGGTACTACCATTTAATGAAGGATCATGATGGATAAGGCAAAACTCCTTTTTTAAATTATGTGACTGCCATCAACTACTTGAGGTACTTTCAGAAGCTATAAGCAGACAAAACTCTTGTTGTAGAGGTGATATCTTTTATTAGATATTCAGAAACTATACACATTCCATACATATGAACAGGTACATAAGCATTCTCATCCGTGCTAATATTTACAAGGCTAACACATTACAAGGTTAACATTTCTTAAAGATTTACAGCTACTCACCTTTTATCAGATAAGGGTCCAGCATTTGTGCCTGTTCAAATTTTAGAATTGAATTTTTATTGTCTCCAGCTCTGAAGTACAGGTCTGCCAAGCTCCCCAACAGATCCACGTTATCCCTCAGCAAAGACTTTTTCTCTAATGAGCTAGCAGAAAATAAATGGCCATTTAAAATTGTACCTTGTTATTTACCATTCATTGCTATGTACTTCCTGAAGCCTACAGTTTGTTTCTAATAAGTAACCATGTTTTTTACAAGCATAGATATGAGAATCAGTAAAAGACCTACAATTACCAAAAAACCAGTACCACTTAATGACAGCCCTGCTATCTGCCTTTGCTGATTGAATACTGCCCGCATACTGTGAAAATGCATTCGAGGTTTTCTTGAACATACATACGCCTTACCCTGCTTGCTGAAGGCTGCCAAAATGGAATAGTGAGAAAGTTCTTTAGGCAGGAGACCTCTACCAAAAATATCCTGCTGCCAGAAGCAAAAAGTGTTTGCTAAGATAGTATGTGCTGCCATGTTAAATCTCAGTGTCTCAAAGCATATCTTAGCCCCACTCAAAGCTTTACAGATCATCACTAGTAACCTGAACTACATCCAGAAGCAAAAAGTTAAACAGTTCATAGCATGAAACACCAGGGAGGTGGGCTCACAGTAACCCGCTTTTTAAAAGGTTTGTCACAAACTTTGGCAGCAAGTCTAGAATATCATTCAACTTTTCTGCTACACCGACTTCCAAATCAAGATTCTTCCAATATGGGAGACACTCTCCTCCCTCCCTCACCTCAGATGTTTCATTTGGCGTCTGCCAAAATCCAAGGATTGTTTAGAGATTGGGACTGTATAGCCCTACACAACACAAAATTCACACCATACCATGTTAAACAATGTGTTTTAATCTATTAACATCTTATGCAGAACAATGATTCAAGAACACTTTAATTCACCTTGATTCTTACCAGATGGTGTTGATTGCTCTGGTGTTATCTCCAGTGTGCACAAAAGCATATGCTTTGATCCACACTGAAAGCCAGTCCAAGTTGGGGATACTCTGAATTACATTCATTGTCATAGAGGCCACTTCTGCACCTTTTACTGAGAGGGAGAGCAAACCTATTCAGAAAAACACACCAGTCAAGTTTCAAGTAACCAATGCAGTTGGTAATACAAGTTAGCTAATTGTTTTAAAAACTGACAATTTAGCTGCTTTGTAAACTTATACGGATTATTATAAATAACTGCCTGTATGTCCTAGATTGTATTTGCTCATTTACTGTGTGTCTCAAACATTGCATGTCAGTAATAACATTGTTTAAGATTAAATATTTAAGTACTTGGTGGAAAAAAAAAAACTCTACCTAATATAGCATCAAGCGCTAGAGGACACTGCCTCAACACTTCTTTATAGCTTGTAACAGATGACCGTTCCTGACCTGCCTTCTTGTACAAATTTGCCAACATCATGTTAATCTGTAGAGAGAGAGAGAGGGTAAAAAAAGACAAAAAAAAAAAAGCGATGGCTGTGATAACAATCCAGTCTACAATTACATAGGGCAGAGGTTCATCACCGAGAGAAGGTCCTAGATTCATTATACCCCATCTTTCCAGCTCTAAGTAGAAAACGGAAGTTATGAACCCAGCTTTGCAATTCACTGTATCCTATAAAATAAGTGTTTCTTCTGATTCAGAAGGCAAAAACTGAAGTAATTCTTTTATATTTGCATAAGGCCTCTGGAAACCTCAGTTTTGCATATATTAAATCCTGATATATGCAACTATCTATATACATGGAAGTGATACCTGACAAACAGCTGCATCTTACGCTGGTTTCCTTTCACCAGCTTTCTCTACATACCAAGGAAAGGCTCCCAGAACTGTAACCTCTGGGAGGTGGAGGTTTTTTATTTAGGTCCTGAATAACTTAACTGCTCAGGAAATAGCTCAAGTCCAGGTCATTGCAGGTAGCTTTTGTGGCACAGTTATTTTGGTTTGCTGACATACAAGGGGAAGAAATTGCTTGGCCTCTCTCTTCAATGTTTTCATTTGTGTGCAGTAAGCCTGGATTATGGTAAGACACCTTGTAGTTAGTTACCCTGACCAAACTGTAATGCTGCTAACAGTCAAACCTCACTTAAAGAGCACAAGGTGTTAATGGCTCAAGAGATTAACTAGATGACAGAGCTAGCAAGCAAAAGACTCAACATTTTTGGCTCTGCATGCTGCTATGTGATCTAAATATTTAGTACTACATAAACTACCATTAAACTAGGGGAGAAGAATCTTGATGGTACATAGTTGCTGGGTTTTTCCCTTCTATTCATCAGGCCAGGAATTTTCTTCAGCCTCAAGAAGCACACGCTGCTGAGGTCACAACACAGACAGCAGCACTTCGTTTCCTACACAAGCTGTCCTCCTAGCAGCATTCAGGAATCTGGTGGGAGGATCAGCAGTCAGAGCTAGGGTGTTTACCAGCACAGCAATTAGTCTTTGTCTGGAGGAAAGTAAAAGCCAGGTATGAAAGGTTTTGGATTGTTAACAGACTACTCCCAGGGAAAAGCAGAATGTTTGTAAGTCTGGTAGAATCCTCAGTCCTAAATGAGTTAGACACTTGTCACTAGAAGTTAAAGTGTCTATTCTTCGTCACACAAGAGAGATTTTGTAATTCCCACTAGTAAGTTACTCACTAATTTTCACAGGAATTAATTGGTGAAGATACACAAGTGTTTAGTTCCTTTGAGTTAGGTGATTTTTTTTCAAATAAAATCCATACAGAGATCTCCTGCTTTAAAGAAAATAAGCTAAATAAACTTAGCTAGTATAAACTACTGAAGGAGCATTTCCAAATATCTCATGTGGACGTTACAAACAGAAGTGCCAAGGGTTGATGTCTTTATATACACAAAACTAGATTTGCAATTCTGGCCAAATGTTAACATTCAGCTCCAAATATACCCAAACTACCCTTTCAGCAGGGAGAGGTAGTTAGCTGCCTTAGTCTGATGGTATGCAGAAAACATGACAGGGTGGCACTTACAGAGTAACTCATTCATAGGCATAAACTTTTGTCAGCTACAGCCCACATCTACTACGTCAGATGCATGTGATGAAGTAGGCTGTAGTTTACAAAAGTTCATGCCTTTCTGGTGTTCTTGCCCCCTTTAAGGTGCACCCTGCCCTGCCTTCTGTCCTCTCAGACCAGAAACACATCTGGGGATTTACCTTTGGGGTTCTTTGTCTTGAAGGAATTCCATCCAGGATAGCAATGGCATCTTTATCTTGCTTCAACATTGTGTAACACTCAGCCATTTTGTATTTCACTTCAATTTCAGATGGCAGACACTAAAATAAAACAGATTGCTAAAATATAACCTCTCAAATGCTGTTTTAACTATATGAAAAGAAATGTCTGAATCATGAGTTTTCTATTAGATTTTTTGTTAAAGATAAATAAAGTGCAAGGAAGACGGTAAGCTGTACTTGCATAACTCACGCTATTTTGTAGCTTCCAAATGAAAAATGTAAATTTAACAAGCAAAACCTTGGCCACAGGTAGCCATCTTGTTTTTCATGAGTTCAGAGCCATTAGAAGTTAAACAGTCTAAAAATTCAGGCTACTTCAGTATAGCAATGTTATAATCTAAAGTCACAACATGAACACACCAACATCCCATGTTACAGCCAGTATGTCAGTCAATTCCCAAGTACCTGACTTTGTGGAGTTGATGCAGCATTCCCAGTAGAGGGTCTAACTTTTGAAGTTTTACTTAATGCTTTCTTCTGCTGCAAGGCCATTGTATACTTACTTACAGCATTCCTATACTCCTTGTCATGAAAGAGGGAGTCTGCATGATATACAAGCAGCTGGTACTTTTGAGAAGGGGAGAATAACTCTCTGGAAGAAAAAAAAAGTGATGGTTAATTGAACTGTCTGATGACATGACACGGACAAATTTGCTAGAACCTAAGTTTTCAGTGTTAGTAAGGAGGCCCTTAGCTATGACCCAGAAGCGGAAGACCTATGAGTGCAACATTTGCACCTTTCATTCACAAGCGCTTCAACCCGAGGCAAGAACAGCCTTAGTAACCCTAAGCATATCTTTAATGAGTCCCGAGTGGTAACTACTGGGCGTATCTACATTTTCATTAATGCGCTGTAATTATGGCGCATTAAATTTAGTACCTGCAATAATAGGTATTAACTTAATGCATTGTAATCGGTGCCACTGCGCATTAGTGCAGATTAACATCACAAAAAAATGTTCATGTGCATTAGACTAAGTCTACTGCATGTTAGCATGGTTTTGCCAGCCACACTAATGCGTAGTAAAATTAGTCTAATGTGCATTAAGCATCTCGTGTAGACACACTCTCTGTTAATCATCCACTTGAAGAGCAAGGGGACTTGGATTTTATAATTAGTACAAATCTGGAGCAATGCTCAAACTTCTGCCTCTACAGCACTGGTTCCCAAACCATGGTACACATACCACCAGCAGTACGCATTCACAGATTCATTATAATTACTTTATATGACAAAAATTTGCTGGTGCCACATAAGTTTGAACTGAAACTTTGCTGGTGGCACTTAAGCTTGTCTCATTTTAAACTGGTGGTGCCAACACTGCTGCTGCTATCCAGTCACACAGTACTGAACCCGTAACTATCTCAGTTAAAACATCTTTAAAAGACTCTGTTCTTGATCTGAAGACATCAAGAAATAAAATGTGCAATCTCCTTTGCCAGCTTAGTCGTGCCTGTTAAAAATCTGCCCGGCTTCAACTCATTTCTTGTTACGTCTTTCTCTGATATGTTAAAGGGAGTTTTTTTGGACCGAACTTTTTCTCCCACTGAAGGGCTTCGCTTACTAACCCAGGCCCCTTTCAACCTCTGTTCTGAGAAAGGCAACAGAAGTGTCTCAGGATGAGCGGTTTCCCCCAGCCCTTCAATAGTTTTGGGGGCTCTCTGCTAGACCCTCGCTTCAAGTGCAACCCCCACAGCGCTTGGGAGAATCCAGCCCCAAGGGAGGAGCAGGGACAAGGGGGCGCGGCCAACTGTCAACTGCCAACGGTCAACCGTCAACGGGCGGCCCGCCCCGCGACTCACGGGTTGTTGCCGCTCATGGTGAGCAGCAGCCCGCTGAGGATGCGCACGTTAGAGTGCAGCCCGGCGGCCGCCATCTCCCGCACGTGCTCCACCACGCTCATGTCGGCGCTGAGGCGGCTTCGGCCGGCTGAGGCGTCACGAGCCTCCAAAATGGCGCCGCCGAGGGGGCCTCACCCTCAAGAGGATATAGGAGTCCGGGGATGGCGCCTGTGCCCGTGCCTCAGAATCGCGCCGGCGGCCCTGCTGCTGCCCGCCGCTGAGACACCCCCCCCCCACCGCGCGGCAAGGCAGAAATGGTGGGTTTTGCAAGCAGGCACTAGGGATGACGCCTCAGGGGTAACGCCGATTGCGCATGCGCGGAGGGAAGGGGAGTGCGCAGGGGCCAGCGGGTGACCGCCGTGCGCGTGCGCGGTGGAACTCCACTCTTGCCGAGGCGCGCTCTCTCGTGTGTAACGCTGGTTCCCTGTTAAAGCGGCCGTCAGCGTTTTTGCCTGCTCTGCTCACAACGCCCTATTGAATTCAGGCCGGCTTCTCAGTCAGTAACAGAGGACAGGAACGAACAATGGCTGTGGCTCGGGAGGGGGGAAGAGAGTGGAACAGGACTCGAGATGGGTATTTCCCAATCAGGGTGCCAACAGCAATGAACAGATGCAGAATTTTGTCACGGCAATGAGCTACAATAGGTGTGAGGAAGGGGAATGCCTTAACGCGTGCGCCAGGCAGCTGGGTGGAGCGTGGTGCTGGTAACTGCAGAGGAGCATGGCCCTGCTACAAAGAACTGGGATAAATGAGTACCAGTTTGTGAACTGCAGCCCTAGTATTAGTTCTGCTCTGCTTTCTACCGGAGCATTTCCCTTTTCATTTTGCAAGGGCTTAGTATGAAAGGCACAGCACCAAACATTGGTTACTTAAGCATAAGGCAGAGCCTCTGGCAGCACTATGCTACTGGGTGCATTGAGACTTCAATCACCCAGGATCTGATTTTTTTAGAGGTGCAGAAGGGGCCACCCTTCCTGTTCCAGCCTTCTCCTCCAGTAGCTGCCCAATCTTTCCTCCTCCTAAACCATTCTTCTTCCACGCTAGATGCTCTACAGAAGGGAATGTGCCCATGGCAAGAAGCAGCCATTGGACTCCACACCAACACTGGAACTGAATGAATGTTTTTAGTGTATCAATGTAAAAATTTTGGACTTTTCAAAACTAATTCTTCTGGCTTTTAATCTGATATGTAAGCAGGCAGTATATTTCAAATAGCTTCACCTCTTACACTTTCTATCTAAGCCTGACATCTTAGATTTTCATAGATGTTAGGGTCAGAAGGGACCTCAGTAGATCAAGTCCAACCCCCTGCATAGGCAGGAAAGAGTGCTGGGTTCAGATGACCCCAGCCAGATGCCCATCTAACATCCCCTTGGAGACCCCCAGGGTAGGGGAGAGCACCACCTCCCTTAGGAGCCCATTCCTGATTTTGGCCACTCTAACTAAAGTTCTACCTAATGTCCAGTCTAAATCTGCTCTCTGATAGCTTATGGCTACGAGTTCGTGTGACCCTTGTTGAGTAGACCCTCACCAATTCCCTTCTGTGCCCCCATGATGAATTTATAGGTAGCCACAAGGTTGCTGCTCAACCTTCTCTTGCAGAGGCTGAAGAGGTCCAGGTGCCCTAGTCTCTCCTCGCAGGGCTTGGCTTGCAAGCCCTTAACCATAAGAGTGGCCCTTCTCTGTACTCTTTCCAGGTTATCCACATCCCTCTTGAAGTGCAGCACCCACAACTGTACGCAGTACTCCAACTGTGGTCTGACCAGCGCCCAATACAGAGGAAGTATCACCTTGGTTCTGTTTGTCATGCAACTGCTGATGGATGATAAAATGCAGTCACAGCTTTTATGATGACTCTGTCTCACCGACAACTCATGTTTATCTTGGAGTCCACTAGGACTCCGAGATCCCTTTTCGCTTCCGTGCTACCGAGCAGGTAATTTCCTAGGCAGTACGTGTGCTGGACATTTTTCCTCCCTAGGTGCAGCACTTTGCATTTCTCCTTGTTCAATTGCATTCTATTGTTTTCTGCCCATTTTGTTTACATCCAAAATTTGAGAGAATCAGTTTACAGTTGGAATATGAAACTATCAGCAGTAGACATCTCATCCAAGAGTTCTTCTTTAATAGCTTATCAGTCCAAAGTATCATTTGCTATTTTTTGAGCGTTCCAGCTCTAAGCTATCCACTCCCCTTTCTGCTCCATCCCTGTTTAGTATGCAACACTTGCCTGAGAAGAGGAATGCTATGAGGTGATCAACACTCAGTGTCTTCTGCAAACCTCCCTTAATTAGAACAACAAGTTACACCTATGTCAGCGGTTGCCCTAATGCAACTATATAGCCAATGGCAGCTTACAGCCCAGAATTACGCCAGCCTTCACACAGGCGGCATCATTGCCACAGTGCTCACTACAATATGATCTTCATTGAAAAACATCTCATGTAAGAGAAAGTGGCCTGAATAAAGTCTTCAGGGTCAGGCTACCTTGCGTTTAATCCAGCAGAGACAGAGAGAGGGAGACTTCCCAGTGCAAAGGTGGCACTCTGGAGTCCCAAGGTAGGATGGACCAGCAACTGAAGTAAAGGCCTGGATCTCAGGGTGAAGTCCTGGCCACATTCAGTGGTGTCGAGAATTTATCCCGGGATTCTACTGTCTGCGCCTGTGTAGCCCTGGGTAGCCATTTACCTTTGCATCTCCTTCCTTTCCCATCTGTATTATTTAGACAGTAACCTTGTCAGGGCAAGAAAGATTTCTTACCACAGGTTTCTACAGTTCCTATAAAACAGACCCTCAAATTTACTTGAGGCTTGCTGGCACAAACAATAAATCAAGCATTCATTTTTGTATAGCTATCCGTGTTCATAAGAGATAAAACAGGTATCATGTGAAATAAGCTAAGTTTATTAGAAAAAGGAGTAAAATTCACCATGCTTTACAATACAGCCTAAGTGGCAATGACTCTAGCCAGCAGAGTAACTGCAGGACACATGTAAGACACATTATATATGAGGCAACTGATAATAAAAGCAGCATTGATCTGAAACAGTATGTTAGAAATTGTTTATTAAGCACCAGCTTAATATTGTTCACTTACAGGATTCAAGGGTCCTTTTGCTCCACCTCCCCACATTGATTGACAGCTTTCCCTCATAAGCACTTATTCTTCCTTGGTACAAAACATGCATGAAGCAAATGCAAAATATTTTTTTACACCTTGCTGTAAACTGCTTAACTTTGTTGCCGCTCCTCTTTGCTTCTTTACTGTCCTGGACCTGACAGGCTCTTATTCATGAACTGTCTCTTCACAAAGCAGATCCACCACTAAGAGAGAAATCCACAGTGAGATGATATACCAGAGGAGTTTCCAAGTAAGCACTCTACGTAAACAAAGCAGGACTTCGGTGTTTTGCCTGACACCCACTATGTAAAATAAACCCAATTCTGTACAAACTGGGCATCCAATTTTCAACAGTGGCTTTAACTGGAGTTTGAGGTACTCAAGGCAGGCAATATAGGATAATTCAGATTGTAACACTGGGACACTTGCATTAAAATACTCTTTAAGGTGGTCATTTCAATGTTAGCTTCCAAGTATCTTGCTTATTTGCATGCAGTTCCAGTCTGGAAGCTAAACAGTATTTGAGGGGGTGGAAATTGTCTTTAAAACTCTGAAATCTTTTCAGTTCTTTCTTTCCCAGAAGTGGCCATTTAAGAAAGCCCCACACCAGTTGCTTTAAAAACATGACTCCTTGCCTTTGATGCACAAGTCTCTGGACCAGACTCTAGATATCAGGCAGTCAACACTCATTTTGAAACATAACTAGCTCAATAATATTGAAGTTACTGTTCAAAACTGGCCTAAGCATCTGAGCAAATATGCAAAATGCATCTACCCTAGGCTGTAACCTCTTCTCAGAAAAAAAACTCACCAAGGCAGGTAGACATGAAAAGAAGGAGTTAACTCAGGGATGAACAAAGTCCAGCCCATGGTGGAGTCCATTTCCCAGCAGCCTCTGACTGCCTCACTGCAGCCAGTTTCCATGGAGACCCCAGAAGCAGTGGGTCCAGGGTTTCCATGGAGACCGTCAAGCAGCACTGGCAGGGCAGTGGCTGGGTGGGGAGCTGCTCCAGGGCCAGGAGCTTGTGGGGGCTGGAGCCAGGGCAGAGAGGGGCATGCAGGTAGTGGATCATGGCTCTGCCCCAGTTTGGACCACGCTGTCACCACTGCAAAATCCCACCCCCAGCCCTGGAGCAGCAGTCTGCCAGCACTCCTTGGGCCGTCTGCATTGAAACCCTGGCCCCACACTGGCACAGCCCTGCCGCTGCTGAAATCTCCATGGAAACTGGCCCCAGCAACAGTGGGAAATCTACTGGCCAGATCCACCATCTGGCCCATCCCTGCATTAACCCATACACCCATTAGCAAAGCGCTTTCCCAACACAGGAAGAACTACATTGCTCACCACAGAAGAGGCCAAGTACCCTCAGTGCCAGACGCAGTTTCTTCTGTGCAGTTGAGTGTGGCCAGCTGGGACCTAGCACTTTGCAGGACTGACCAACAAACAGAGAGTTTCCTCTGTGCTCATGGACAGGATGCTTCTGCCTGTGCAGCCTAGCCTGGCTTTTGCTACCATTTCACTTACAGACTCATCTAAATAACAGGGCACTACCCTCCTAGCCCTTTGTAAGTCTTGGGTTCTTGCTTAACAGGTTTTCCCTTCCTATCCATCTCACTGCTGCCTCTGACTTCCATTCCCCAAACATGTGCCTTAGGGAGCAAATCCAGAATTATTTTCTTTTCCCCTGCAGCTGATATTCCCCAAGTGTCCACTAATCAGGGAAAAAAAAAAGGAGCCTAAAAGACTGGGATTAAAAAAAAAAGAAAATGCATCAACTAGTTTGTGAGAACAGGATCTTACCTTGCTAGGTTTGTCGCTTTGGGGATCAAACACCTTTTCACAAAGCCTAAGTCCAGTCTCTTGTCTCAGCTGCTGTAAGTAGGCCCTCATCACCTCTGGAAGAGAGCATGGACCAATACAGATTGGAGTGTGCTGTGTTAGATACTATGTAAGACTAGTTGTGGCAGTCGACAGCAAAGCCATCTGATATGCTGGCTAAAGAGGGGATTAGCAATGTCTGCACCCCTAGCATCACCTTCTGTTTTCAACACTTGCTGAGCCAGGATTGCTTAGTCCTGAGCACAGCACGGTTAATTACCACAGTTTAGTTTCCAGTGTTGTGGGATTGGAGGAGCGCTGCTCACTAGACAGGATTAGCAGGGATACAGCATAGTAACTCTGTCCCAAACTCAGTCAGTCTGACTCCAGGTACATAGAGAAAGCAAAACCACTGATTCACAAGGCAGAAATAAAACAGAAATAAAGCAGGCTGTTAACTTCAGGCTACAGCATGGATCCAAGTGACAAGGCTGCTTTTGTTCTTACCGTCCTCTTGTTTGTTGGCAGGTTTGGCATAGATGGCATTGAGTGGAAAGCCAGGCTCCCCAGGTATCGGGAAGCTAGTGATTCCCAGTGTGTACATTTCCTTTTCTCCTTGGCCTTTGGAATTGCACTGGAAAAGCCAGGAAAGAGACCAGTTAAAACATATAGAGAGAAGTCGTACCACCTTAGATATAAAGTACGTAGCTTAACTAGGATATTGATACGCAATGCTCAGGACTACCCATGGAAGAAAATACTGAATGTCTTATGTATTTGTCCCTGATTAAATGAGAAGAGTCTCCTTACAGTTTGGGGGCCCTGTGCATTTACTACAAACCAAAAGGTTTTCTTTTGGGGCTCTGGCAGTCGGGCCCGAAGCCGGCTGCACGTATAGACTGTACCAATATAAACCCTCCTTGCTTAGTAGTAGGAAGTACTTTCTAATAGGTGCACCAATATAACCCGCAGTGTGAACTGTGTTATACTGATATAAAAAGAGCCTTATACCAGTATAGCTTATTCCTTTATCCAGATAATACCAGCAGAAACATGCTAAGGCGTGTTTATAACTACATATACACTAGGGGCTTGTAATGGTTTATGTATATTGAGTTAGTCCGTACCACAGAAGTTTTACTGCCTTGACAAGCCATAAAATCTAGTAACGTGCCCAAACACCAATGTGTAGCCCCTCTGGCTTAATTTGTGGTGTGTACAGACATATCCAAAGGCTAAGTGCAGCATGCAGAAGAAAGCAAGAGTAGATTATCCCCAGTGAGTCTTGAAGAGGAGCCCAATACTTTCAGACCTGATGTGGGTGAGGAATAGGCAGGGAAAACCATGGTAGAAACTGATGACTAACAGGGTTATTCTGGACAGATGGGGGGGGGGGGGGGGGGGCG